GCAACATTTTACTAGTTAGCCACTTTTTGATATCTTTCATAGAAAATGAGATATATAGGCTCAAAGTGGACGATCCGGGTGTCGTTCTATTAGAGGTTTTACGGTACTTTAAGATTTATCAAAAAAATCCTTGTTTTGACACGTATTCAGCTAGTTTTTTGAGTTCTCATATGTAGCAGTTATTATTTTACGAGTTTTCATTCGTACGAGTTTTCATTTTATACCAGTTCTCATTTGTGCAATTCTCATTTGTAGCAGTTCTCATGCAAAAAGTTATCACTTTTTGTACCACCTAATTTGAGAACCAAACAGCTTGTATGAACAAAGTTTTTTGAAAATTATGATTCATGTCCCACCTCCTTTAATTGAAAATTCCACACTCTGGAAATTAGAAATTTTCTGAATCTCGGCCTTTCAGAACAAAATTCTGATATTTTCCTCTCTAAGGTCGTTCTGTCCCACCATTTTGAAAGCCCACTCCATTGGAAAATTTCCCCGAAACGCCGATTTCTCTTTCGGTATCAATTCGAAAAATCTATGTAGTTTTTCCTGAAAATTCGCTTCGCTTTTCTCCGATGGCAGATTTTGTAAAAATCCTTTGTGTGTAGTCTTCTCGGTGGGCAGCTACAATGATCTAGAAGACTCTTCCAATACACAAATTTTGAAGAAGAACACTATCGTACCGGTCCGCATGCACCGAATGTGAATGCGTAGCTTGGCTGGCAATAGAACAGATTCTCCAATATTTGAACGGCAAATTCAACTAAACACTTTTATAAACAGGACATAAAGAGGTGTTTTTCACGTCTCCTGGAAAGCATTCGAAATCTGAAAATTAGAAAATAGTTTTAAAAAATGAAAAAAGAATCGAACGATGAAATTTACCGACAATGTGAAGACGAAAGGACATGGAGTATCTAAAAAGATGACCTCTTCAGATAAATACCAAAAAAATACAATAAGATTTATCGGTTATGCGTCTGGCCTTACAATTAGAATATTCGAATCGTTATTTCGAAATATTTTAAAATTTTAGAATTTTAGAATTTTGTAATTTTGGAACTTTGAAATTTTGGAAATTCGAGAATTTCAGAAATAAGAGTTTTAGAATTTTAGAATCTTAGAATTTTTGAATCTCAGAATCTTAGAATCTTAAAATTTCAGAATCTTAGAATCTGAAAATTTTAGAATCTTAAAATTTCAGAATCTTAGAATCTTAAAATTTTAGAATCTTAGAATTTCAGAACTTCAGAATCTGACAATCTCAGATTCCAAGAATCTCGGAATTTCTAAAACTATATTATCAAATTCCAAACTTTCCCAATTTTTCCTCTTCCTCCTCCTCCACAACAAAAAACCCATATTTCAGAAACCCAACAATACGTTGCCTGTTTCCCTGTCGAAACCTGCTTCTGCCTTTCCTATCTCCTATTTTTAAACATTTTTGGCCAAAAGGACGGACAGAACGGCTTCCGATACATCCTACGCTACACAGATTTATAAATTCGCGGCTTTAGATTTTTCCAGAAGATACCTCTAGCCTCCGGGGCCTCGAATGGCTTAGCTGTTGTTCTTATTCTTGGATTTTCAATTTGAAATTTTATATGTTCGTATATGATTGGAAATGCTAGAAATCATCCAATTATCACCAAAAACTGATAATGGATATTTTGTGGTCAAGTACATCAAAAAAGTGCTAAAAAGTCCTGTATTTTGGATTGTGATTGTTTATACAAGTGAGTTATTTTGATTAAAATGTTTTTACAAAAATGAAATTTTCCAGTATTCCTGGCCTATTCTACACATATAGAGGATCCTAAGGAGTGAGTTTCTTGTCATTTAATCATTTTCCAAAAACTCATTCTTCAGAATACCGTATCCCATTGCTCAGATCAATTTCAAAACGTCTCGAAAATATATTTCAAGCAATTACGCGGCGTCTTCTCGACTGGGAAACCATCTTTTCGAATTGGCATCAGTTTTATCAATATCTAGAGATCTTAACAGGGTGCCCATATTTTTCATCGAGGATTGTTATCATGAGAAAATGTGGGAGGATACCAATAATTTGATACCAGGATTGATGAATCAGTTTTGGTTATTAATGGAAGTGTGAGTTTTTTCATTCTGATTGTGAGATTCGGAAATTCTGAAATTCTGAGATTCTGAAATTTTGAGATTTTGAGATTCTGAGATTCTGAAATTCTGAGAATCTGAGATTCTGAGATTCTGAGATTCTGAAATTCTGAGATTCTGAGATTCTAAAATTCGGAAATTCTGAGATTCTGAAATTCTGAGATTCTAAAATTCTGAAATTCTGAGATTCTGAAATTTTGAGATTCTGAAAATCTGAGAATCTGAGATTCTGAGATTCTGAAATTCTGAGATTCTGAGATTCTGAGATTCTGAGATTCTGAGATTCTGAGATTCTGAGATTCTGAGATTCTGAGATTCTGAGATTCTGAGATTCTGAGAATCTGAGATTCTGAGATTCTAAGATTCCGGGATTCTGGGGATTCTGAGATTCTGGGATTCTGAGATTTGAAGATTCTGAGATTCTGAGATTCAGAGATTCTGAGATTCTGAGATTCTGAGATTCTGAGATTCTGAGATTCTGAGATTCTGAGATTCTAAGATTCTGGAATTCTGAGATTCTGAGATTCCAAGATTCTAAAGATTCTGAGATTCTGAGATTCTGAGATTTGGAGATTCTGAGATTCTGAGATTCTGAGTTTTTGAGATTCTGAGATTCTGAGATTCTGAGATTCTGACATTCTGAGATTCTGAGATTCTGAGAAAAAAAGATTCTGGAATTCTGAAATTCTGAGATTCCAAGATTCTAAAGATTCTGAGATTCTGAGATTCTGAGATTTGGAGATTCTGAGATTCTGAGATTCTGAGATTCTGAGATTCTGAGATTCTGAGAGTCTGAGATTCTGAGATTCTGAGATTCTGA